CTCTTCTTCTCTCTTTTTTTCTTCCTCCATTTCTTTCCTGTTTCTCTGTTCTCTTCTTTTTCCTCTTTCTGCTTTCCTCTTATTCTTCCCTCCTTTTCTTCATCTCGTCACCGACCCCCTACATTATCTCATCATTTTACTACTTACCTATGTATGTATTCTTATTACTTTCTCGCTCAATTTTTTTTATTTCCCAATCGTCTGTTTATTATTCTATTTTCTCTATTTTACTTTTTTCTCTCCTCCTCTCCTTTTATAATTATAGCTTTCTGCATTTCAATTTAAGCCCCGTTTTAATCTCTTTTTAATCTTAATAATACTTCTAATTATTACCTGATTGAGAAGTACATTAAAATATAGTCAGCATCATTAATTAAGTCACTTATTATTTGCTTGTCTACTGAATTCAAATCAAGTATAAAGTAAAACTCTTCACTTTACTCCTGCATGTAGGCAATGCTCAACTTAACTATGTTAAGTGGTCTCAAATTAAGTAAAATGCTTAATTTAAAATAAAAATATGAAAATAATCGCTAAAAACGTGGAATTAGAGTTAATGTTAAATGGTCAATGTTAAAACTAAGATCGAAACTAAGAGCAAAATATCTCCTTTTTTTTATATCTACATATTTCCATCATTATAACTATGTAGTATACTTATTCCTTCCGCTTTAAAGAACCTAATAATTAGTTTACAAGTCTACTTTTTAAGTAAAAAATGCTTCTAATATATTTGAATCCTTATTAATGATGCGATACTCCGTGCTTAGGCAGAGGTGGGAATTCATCTAAAGACGGTAAAATCTTGAATTTAATTTTTTTTTTTTTGTATTGCAACATTTTTCCTAGTATTAATTGTTTCCTCATTTAATATGCCAATAAATTCATTGTAGTTAACTTCCTTTTTTGGTAAATTTTATAATTTTATTGTCTTCTTCTTTTATTTTATTTTATTACTTTTTTTTTGCAAAATTTTCTCGTCGTATTTTAAAATTTTTATCTACCGCCTGCCGCCAAATCGTCATTCTCTGCGTACACGGAACGCTACATGTGCCAGAGTTTTGAATACAATTTGAAATAAATAAAATTGAATTGTTTCTTTATTTAAGTATTAATTTTAAAATATAAAAATTTGATTATAAACAACGACGAATGTACAAGCAAAAATAACAAACAAAACCCCCAAAAAAAGAATCGGATCTATAAAGAAAAGCATTTAGCATTTCGCACTCTTCAGAATAAACTCAAAATATTGTGGGAGTGAGGTTGTATGTGTCGTTATTGAGAGGTTGGGTGCTTGGGTGTTTGGGTGGCTGAGTTTGGGGGTACCTAATGAGACAGTGGCGGAATGCTCGCGCTCGTTTTCGATGATTTTGACACCAAGCAGCCATTCAGTTAGCGTACATAGCCAAGTCTATTAGGTTGGATTGGCTCAGATTGAATAGCTATATTCGTAATTGGCTCGTCGCAGTTAGTCAATTTAGTCTCTTGTCGAAGTCGGTCGTATCGAAATGCGTTTAAAATACTGAATACACTGAACTGAGCGTCAATAAAACAAAATATTTTACGTTTTTTTTCTTCTGATAAATTCTTTTCATTAAAAAATTTATAAAACAAAAATATTTAAAAAGAAATATAAAGAAAACAATTTTATTTATAAAATCGTGTAAATTGCGAAATATAAAAATAAATATTTTTTTTTAATTAAAAAGGAAAAATACTTTATTCAAGTGAAAAAGTAAAAAAAAAATTCAATAGTAATGACTAGCTTCTTTCGACTGTTATTTGTAAGAAATTTTTTTTTTCATTATTTTTTATTATTTATTTATAACACAATATAAAATACCATATATAATAAATATGAAATATATAAGTCCGTATCGCGCCGTTACTTTTCGCTTTATATTTTAAAATGTGGTTTCTTCTTATCTTAAAGCTTAAAGTATCTAAGCAAATTAAAAACTGTAGCAAAACAAAAATAAAGTTAACATACGAATTTTGACACAATTTTATCTGCAGTGACGAAGGCAATTTATATTATTTTTCAATTTTATAAAGTTCTTTTGTTTAGTATAAAATTAACCGTGCGAAGAAGGTGGCGAGCGTTTAGTTAAATTAAAAGTGCATAAATTTTTATTCTAGAAACTTTAAATTTTTCATTAGAAAAAAACTTATTCCAAACTTCTGAACTTATTTAAGCTAAATAAAAACATATGTTTAAACATTTGTATTTTTGTTTGATTTTAGTAAATAAACTTTTACTAAGAAATAAACATAAAGTAAATAATCATAATTTAAAATTTATAAAAATTCTTTAATAATTGAAATAATTCTATAAATTCCGAAATTCCAAAAATAAAAACGTAAATTCTCTACTGCACACTGTTTGAGAGTCTATATATTATATATAGAATGTATATTAATTAATTCAAACAATTACTTAACGTCATTAGCCTAGCAGTTTGAACGCAATCATACGTCGATATACTCGTATATTCGGATAGAGAGACCCTTCCAACGTTTTGTTTAGTTCTATTGTGTAATTCATTGCGAGAAAGGCACGTTCACACACTGCAATTCTGTAATTAATGCAAATTTCATACAAATTTTCACATATTGTAACAGCAGCACTTATACGTTTCCATACATATTATGTATATTCCATATACACTTTCAAGTAATTCGTTAAAATAGTGATCAATTCAATTTGTGCGTCGACTGCTTTCTGGTTTCTTAATTAACCTTGAATATCCTTGATGGAATGTGCATAAATTGCATTTTGTACACGCGCCGTTCAAATCGAAAAACCTTTAAATAGAATATATTTCAGGAAATAAATGACATTGATCTCTTTATAATGTTGTCTTAAAGACCATTAAATTCCATTTTATGCATGTCGAAACTATTAGTATCCCTAAATTAGTATAGAGAATGTAATTTAACGTAAAAAAATAGGATATCGGAATCCTTACCCTAAATGATAACGACAATTCCTGCGAAACTATCAGTGTCCTTTGATTCAAGAACGATTCACAGTCCAGATTCATTTAGTTTGTTTTCCTTATAAAGGATGAAACTAACTGTGTCCTTAAATTCAACTAATTTGTTTGCTTGACAACTATGAAACTGTAATTATTTTCTCAGATTCATCTTCTTCTTCTCAGTGACTGTTACTTTCCTCTGTACTGTCAAGTAATATAACATAAAAAAACATTAAAATCATTATTCTTAATGGTAACGACAATTCCTAGAAAACTATAAGTTTCCTGCAATTTACCAAATTTGTTTTCTTTTGAACTTTAAAACTATAAATACCCTCAGATTCATTTAATTTGATTTCCTTACAAACAGTAAAGCTGATAATATTCTTAAATTCAGATGACTTTTCTGTCCAGCATAAGACTATAATTATCCTTTTTTTTATTGATAGCGAAACTATATTATTTTTCTTCTAAATGCTTTGTCGGTTACAAACGTTAGCTAACATATTTGCTACCTTTAATCTGTCTACAACCTCCCAGTCGCAGAATATTAAGCTACATAAACTATCGTTTCCCAGGACCGCGACTTCCTTCTATTCTATAGTAAAACACTTTCTTTTCATTGTCTTTAGAAACTAAAATTTAAAAGTCAATCAATGTTTAATAGTGTTGATCAGGCCATCGCTTGTAATTTCTAGTAAATAACCTAGAAATCACCTTTTAATTCTTATTTTTGTACCGCTAATACAAAATTAATGTCTCTTCAAACCCAATAACTTGGCTTCTGTTTATAAAAAAGTATATCCTGAAATTTCAACATTCTTTAATATTAAAGAATTTTCTTTACCAACGCATGTAATTGCTTATGGATTTCGATACAAATTACTCTTTTAAGAAAACCGTAATATTTTTCGAATAAACCATATAACATATACGAATACACTTCTTCAGCATAAATCCTCTTTAACACTAACACACATTTTTATTTGAATTTTTAGTGCAGTTAAATCGCACTTTTTTAATTTACTTTAATTTCATCTTAATTTATATATGTGAACTAAGTTGAGCACTACCTGCATACATGTGCGGTGTGAAGGGGTTTATATCGTTATGCACTGCTTACATACGTGAATAGGAAAGTGAGTGTTTGTCTTGACAAAGTAATTAACATTAATTTCATTTAGTAGTGGGGATTAACGTTTTCTTGATTACTTTAGTGTTTGATTTAGAGAATTTTCACTTATTTACGTCTTCTTTTATTTACAGAAAACGGGAATTATTTAAAAATCGTCAATTTATTTACCAATAAATATATTTACTTTTGTTTAAACAGCAAATATTATTTAGATCCTTTTCACTTAAAACGTCACATGCTCGTCCTTCTCCTCCTTCTCCTACATTTTGTAAATGAGCTTCATTTTGATTTTTATTTTTGACATCATTTTAATATGTTAAACAATTTTGATACGACAAGTAAGAAAAGTTTTCTGCTTCTAACTTTTTATATAAAAAAGTTGGAAGTATCTCATACTCATGTTCAACTTCGTTGAAAATCAATCTTTTGGATATTTTTTTGTGCTCGAGTTGAACCCAGCAATGAGTTATCTTTGCATTCGTTGCTCGTTTGCTTTCTCCTTCGCTGATATCCTTGAAAGAAATTTCTATATTTTCTATATTTAAAACAACAAATTTTATTTGACAATAATTTGTGAAACTTTGAAGTATCCATTTCTTTTGAGTACGTTCCTACGGTGGACGTTGACAGAGGATGCAGTTGTAATTTGTAGCTTCTACGACGTGCATTTGTGACTTTTTATATGAGGAACGAAAAAAAAATTTAAAAAAGTTACTAAAAATAAAGTTTATTCAATAAATTTTTAATTAATAATTGTAAAGAATATTTAGTTTGTAGAACAAGGATATTATTTCAACTTAGTAAAAATAATTAAAAATAAATATTTGACTTTCATATTTATATTCTGTGTTTCATAATCATATCTCTTCCATTTTTCTTTTCAGGCCAGTACTGGTAAAATGGATGGCACTCCTGCATTAGATTTGAATGAAATTGTACAAATTGTCAAAGAGACAACAGTGAGTATTTTCAATTATATTTGAGTTTCAATATATTTCAAATAATTCTCAATTAATTCTGATTTATTGATTCCGAATAATTCGGAATGAAATAATTTTAATGCCAAATTGATTCTTATTAATTAAAAGTTCATGTTTAATTAATATAAATTATTACATTAATATAAATTAATTACATCAAATTAATATTTAAATATTTTTGTTTCAATAAAGGAACAACATGAAGAAAATTCGAAGTTCCTTAATCCCAGCTATGACATGAATAACACCAGCTGCAGTAGTGAAGCTAATGGACGTGGCGGGGAACTGGATTTATGTTATGCAAATAATGTTAACAACGTAACTGATAATAATGATGAAGTAAGTAACTTAATAACAAATCAATATTTAATAAATTAATTAATACATTTTTTAAATTTACTTTTTAACAGAATAATACTGAAAATAATAATACGGAAACCGCATTAAACAAACGTCGATGTGCTTTAGATGAACTAATATCCACCGAAGAATTATATATACAAGATTTATCAGATATTGTTAATGGGTATGTTGTATATAAAGTCAATACATTCTTTCTAAAACTAATGAATTTAAGTTATTTTTAAAGTTTGACTAAACTTTATTTTTCTTTAGTTCAAAGTTAAATAAAAAATAAATAAAAAAACTTACTTACGTAGCTAGATAAAGTGGAAGAAGAACCGAATCCTATTCAATTAGCTTCCTTTCATATTAATTGCATCATCGATATCCATAGACTACAACAACAATATTTGTACTTATATATATATTAATTGCATCATAGATATCCATAGACTACAACAACAATATTTATACTTATAAGTATACAACAGAGATACAGGCGTTTCTGTATGTACTACAAAAGTTTTGGTAGAACAGTTCCAGCCTGACTACATGTCCTCCTGTAGAGCGGTGTCCCATTACATCTACTATTATCTTAGATACTTCTGCTTCTGCCGTATGAATTAAGTTAGAATCCTATGAATTAAGGCTGCTGAAGTAATATTAACCCAACTTTTGTTAGCTTGTTTTGAAATGTGATCTGCTCTAAGAAATGCTGCAATTCTACGTAATCCCAGAGATTTACTTAGTAAATTTTAAAAATCAAATACAAAGCTTTTAAATTAGGAACATTCTATGCTAAATATATTGTAGGCTGCGCACATACCGGTCTTTCTAAACCTTACTCATAACTATTATGACGTTTTCGCTGATAAGCCAAACAAGAGTGCAGCAGATTTGCGGTGGTCATGTAAATCTATCAAAACCGCTCAACAACAATATTAACTATAAACTATACAAAATAAAGAAAATCATATCTGCGTATTTAAATTCCGCAGATATTAATTAAATTATTTTTAGTTTTGGACTTAAATTTGAAAAAAAAAATTTATTATTGTAAATTCTAAGTACTTGATGACTATAGCCTACTAATATAAGTAATATATTTTTATATTTTAGTGTATATTAGAACAAAGAATTGCGCTAAGTCCTTTTATTGTATTGTAATTCTGTATACCCAAATCGTGTTACATTAAAAGTGTCTTATTATATGTTTTCTAAAGAAAATAATTCTAATTTCACACAATTTATTTTCTCCTTTTATTGTTGTTGCATCGTATCAATATGTTTCCACTTGAAAGTGGAAGAGAATATAAGGTTCGATAAATATTGAAATAGATCACTGCTGCTGATTTAGGTATTATTTTTTTAGTTTAATTGGACTTGTTTTTCTTAATTAGAATAGAAATATTTTTGACTTAATGCTATATTTATTTAAGTTTCTGATTTTATATATGTTATATAAGTAATGGATTTTCTGACATATATTGAATTAACTAAAAATATTTTTTTTATATTACAGTTATATAGTGGAAATTCGAAACTCCAACAGTGATATACCATTACCAGAAGATTTAAAAGGTGGCAAAGAACGCATGGTTTTTGGCAACATTGAAGCTATATATGAATGGCATCGGGAGTAAGTTTTTTTATAACAATATGTAATAAAAATTATTAAAAATAAAAGTCTACAAAAGTCTAATATTCAAATCTTTTATGCGAATTATAATATAAATAATATCTATATATTTATTTAAAATTATAAATAGGAATCTAAAATAGTTTTATAGTCACTATTCGTAAATATATTGCGAAGATAGATTTCTTTTCATATAACTTTAATTTAATTAATAACTCTATCTATGGGCGCCTTTTCTTAAACAAGTTTATTGACGTGGTTCCAGTTCACTCGAATGGGATTGTCGAGTATTTTAGCTTAGTCTGTGTAGGACCACTCCGGTCCTTTTTGGCGTCTTTCTGGTCTGTGTGTGATGAACAACACTAATGCAATGTATCACATCGGACTATTATTTAAGATCAAGTGGGCTTGGTGTACAAGGCCACTACTCCATCCTAACCTAAGTAGAAATATAATGAATGCCACATACACGATAAAACTACAGTAGTTGGCAAATTCGCTTTTGCCGAAACACGTGTAGAGATACACAAAAAAAAAAAACTTTTGAAATAAAAGTTAGTATATTTTAAAAAACAAAAATAACCGCATTTAAACAATTTCGAAATAACGACTCAAAAATTAAAACAAAAATAAATACAGTAGTTGGTTAGCTAGAAGAGTTCTAACTGAAATTACGCTAATGTATTCCTGTATTACTGCATACGATTAAGCTGCAATCACTGTTAGACATAATTGGACTACAATGAGAATTGTTAGCTACTGTAGTTGAATCGTTCATTGATCATAATATTCAATATAGGAATTAGCTTAGTATTATTATTTACTAATCGTGATTTTATTTCTAATAAAATATAATATAATATAATATAAAATTTTATTTTTTTAATTTTTATTTATGATATACGTATGTATATATGTGTAAATATGTTTTGTTTTGTATCATTTGTAGTTATTTTCTAAGAGCCCTGAGACATTGCCAAAGTAAGCCTGGCGACTTAGGTGCCATGATTACACGCTACGAGCGGAAATTTAACATGTACACAGTCTACTGTCAGAATAAGCCCGTATCCGAGCATATTGTTAATGAGCATGCATTGTACTTTGATCAGATAAGAGATAAATTAAGACATCGTTTGGTGGTAAGCAAAAATTAAATAAAAATCAATTATTTTGTATTTCAATTAATTGTACTACTGTATTAATTATGTTTAGCTTGGCGACTTACTTATTAAACCAGTGCAAAGAATAACTAAGTATGAATTATTGCTAAAGGAAATAACCAAACAAACAAGACGTGCTGGATTGTTTGATGAAGTGGCTAGCATGGAAGAATCTTATCAGGTTATGAAGGTAATTATGTGAATTATTACTATAAAATACATTTTCTTTAATAAAATATTTTTAATATATTTGTAGATTGTATGCAAGGCTGTTAATGACACGATGGTACTAAGACGTTTGGAGAAATTCGATGGAAAAATAACAGCACAAGGTAAATTGTTATTGCATGGTACACTAAATTGCATTGAAGATGCTAGAAATAATGAACGCAGTGCATCAATGATACAAAAGCCACGTGAACTTCAAGTATTCCTACTCGAGCAAAGTATTATATTTGCTGATATAAACACACACAAAAAGACACAATTTTCAAGTCCCACATACACCTATCGATCACATATACAGGTTAGTAATAATCGTTTTTATTTTTTTTGTATTTAAATTATAAATTATTTAAAATTAATTTTAATTCATAGGTTAATAAAATGCAATTGGAAGAGTTACCCAATAATCGTTTTCTACTCAAATCAACTGATCCTAACCGACCTGATTTGAACATGATTTGCTCCGCAGCCAAAGTTGAATCTAATCGCGAATGGCTGGAAACTATACGGACTATTTTACAGTCCCAACATGATTTCCTTAAAGCAATAACCAGTCCCATACAGTACCAAAAAGAAATACAATTGACCAAGGAAGCATGAAGTGCATTAGGCTAAAATGCAAAATGTATATTAATTGACTATGTTCGTAACTGAAGCAACTTTATTATTAAATTTAAAGTCTTCATAAGACACTACAAATTTAAGCACGTACAGCAAACTTCACAAAACTGAATATACACAAAGAAGAAGCAAAAGTTTACGAAAAGAAAAAACGTTTTCGATATAAACTTATAAGAAACTTATTTGTCGAATGGTACAGTTGAAAAGAGGAAGGGAAGTAACTAAGACAAAATGTTTATCATTTTCAAAGCAAATGTCTTAAAATATATTATTTTTAAATTTGTATGAGTAAATGTTTTTTGTAAAATCGCTTCATATGCCCATCATATGATGACATACATATTTTCTAAATTATACTTAAAATATATATTTTTTTATACACAGTCGTGCACATATAATTTAATAAAATAAGTCTCAAACTTGTAATGTTTAATTTTCTCTATAGTAATTTACTTTTGATTTCCAAGTTTAAAAATTATATTTAAATATATATTAATTTAATTTGCTTGCAATTAGAGAAAGTATTATCTTAACAAACAGACAGAAGATGCAATTTATTTATGTAGTTTTTAAACATTATAATTTATTTAAGGCATTTCCACTGCTCAAATAGCGTAAAAATTCTACATACAAAAATGTTAAGCAAAATGATAAAAAAAATAAAATGAAATGAAAACAAAATATTATTATGAACAATAAAAAATATTTGCAAAACAAACAAAAGAAAAACAATTTAAAAAACATTTAAGAAATGTAATTATAAAATAAGTTTGTCATTTAATTAAGTTATTTCTTGTCCAGTTAATTTTGCATGCAGTTAGTGCAATTTTGTGTATTTATGTGCATATATCTAAAATAAATATATTTGATATTAAGGCCAATTCATTTTACGTTATTGGTTGAGAATGAAAGTAAATTTAAAATAAGTCACTTATTGTTCAAACTGCTATTAATAAATTTTGTTATAAGATGACAACTTTAATTGCTGATTAATGTAGTGTTTGCATCCTAATATGCAGAATAAAAACAAATAATAATTACAATTAGTAATGCAATTAAAATTAATTTTAGTATTTTTAATAGTTTTGAGTTTAAATTATGTTCTAAAAATGATATATAGCGATATTATAAAATTTTAAAATATTTACTATATATACACTTATATATAAATAATTTTAGAATGAATGACTAAAAAATCTATACAATAATTAAACTAATTTTAAGTAAAAATTATGAGTGATTTATGCTATTAAGATTTTAATTTAATTGAATTTTTTTTAATTTAAAAAACAAAAACATTTAATTTTAATATTTTTTTATTTAAGCTAAAACATTCTCTAATGTTTAAATTTAAATATATTTTGTATTTTATGGTTTTTTAAAATAAAATACAAAGCAAACCGCTTCTAAATTTTATATTTTTGTGTTTTATTTTTAATAAGTTTTTATCTTTTTATTGAAAATTTTATTAAAGAAAACTTTTATGGTAAATGTCATAAAAACAGTTAAACAATCTTTAAGATTCTACAGTTTATGAAAGAAGGTATAAATAAATATCTAAAAATATTTACTTTATTTACTATATATGAAATTGTTTATATATATATAACTACTAAAGTTATTGTATAACATTATTTCTATTTCACAAAGTTATTAACTAGGTAAAAAAAGGTTTTGAGATAATAAAGTGTCTACGTGTGGTTATAACATAAAAATATGTTTTTATAATTGTAAGGCCAATGTACAGTGTAAAATTTTAATATAAGCAAATGCAAAAATAAAACTTGTTAAGATTTAATAATTATTTTTAAATATTAGTTACATATTTTAAGGTTATTGAAAACCTTAATAAAAAAATTATTAAATTTAAATTAACTAATTTGACCACAAATGTAATTATATTAACTTTGCTCTATTTTTATTTTTATTTCATTTGAATAGCAATCTTAATTTTGGAAAAACAATATTCTTATTTTACAGTTTATTAATCATTATACTTCATTAACACTATCCTAAACAAATTAACATAAATGATGGCATTAGCGTTGACATTGAGTTAGTAAGTCAAATAAAATTTTAAATTTTAACTGCTATTCACATGATTTTTTATAAAGGTTATGTGATTTTAGTTAAGATTTCTTATACGCACTTCACATGGCGTAAGTTATTGATATTGCATATGTGTTTCTCATTTATAAATTCTCTTACAAAGTTATTTGCTGTTCATACGACAAATTTAAGACTTCTTATACGCACTTCACACGATGCGATAAAATGGTTATTAATTGCTTAATAGCCATTATATCGTTTTTTAAGTTTCTTTAAAAATTTTTACACAAAACTCTCTAAGTGCCGTATACTCTTCACTCGATAAGCTTAATGCTTCTTACATCAAGAGTCTTATGTATATATTTAAGCTGTTTTTTGATCTCAGAGCTGTTGCAATCAGAAATTTAATGAAGCAGGCGAATAACGAGAAACGATCAAACCAATTTCTGCAATAGTGTAAAATTAACAATTAATTTGTACTATATCCTGAGTGAGGACAAAGGAGAAAATCAATAAATTTTAGTGGAAACGTAATACCCACTACACAATTCCAACTTAAAGTTTCTAAAGGAAATAGTCTAAAGGATACACTCATTTTCCATAGTTACTCTCAGAGCAACTAAAGCAATTTCTAAGATTAATGGAAGAATTTCTACTATAATACGAGTGAGCACAAATGAGAAAAATATAAAATTTTGAGTAAAAACTTAAGAGACTTTCTTCTCTTCCATTCTTGCGTAAGCAGTTTATGTAAGAGAGTTTGAAAAGAACAAACACATGTGCAGCAACAACAACTAAAGTAGATTGAAAAAGTTAATGAAACGAGCAAACACTTAAAGAAGTTAAGGAGTTTATGAACATTTACTCATGCCGTTTGAAGTGAGTATTACCATGTTTGGTAAAGGTTTGATTTTTGTGATGTGAGATGATATTGAAATAAAATGGATATATATTCAATAGTAGATTCATCGAGATTTCTTTACAAAGTTTTCTTACTATTCGACCTGGAAGTGTATTGATAATCATGGTAGTGAAGTATTTTCTAAAAAATACCATGAGAAATCAGGTTGCTCAATATCATCTATATGAACCACAATGGTTAATGCAAAATTCATTTCTTAAAAATTAAATTTTTAATCACTATTCATTTTTTTTAATAGTATATAAAATTATTAAGACAAATTAATATAAATAAATATTATTTATTCGTCTACTTAAGAACTAAATACATCTCTTTGAATGAAAATGTTTTTTTTTTACTATTAAACACAGTTTTCTAGGCGACCAATAAACCTGTGTTTTACTAGCAGACCTATTTTTAATTGGATTATCACTAATTTTTTATATATTTTAAATTATATTCTTAATTTTTATTTATTAAAAATATTTTTTATTATAAAAGATCAGCTCTAAACTTTAGTAAATGTAAATGTCTATATAAAAATGCATATAATCCATATAACTGTTTACATATATCAATAATAAATCGGTGTAATTTTTATAGCATTTTAATCATAAGTATACAAATATTAACAACGCTCCCCACTGACTGAAAATTAATTACTCATATAAAGTAAATACTAATGTTAAAATTAAAATATTTTGATCCAGTTTCAAGAAACTCTTTTACCCTTAAATTATAGCATTAAAAAATAAATGATAAAAAATTTGGAATGAAGAGAATATCATCATTTTAATGCAAAATCTGTACTAACCATACATTCTACATACATAAAACATATACATAATATATATATGGACTTAGGCATACGTATACGAAGAAATGTATGTTTATATAAAAACATTACATACTCAGATATAGTGGTATATACATAAACTAAGTCATGGACCAGATTGATATTTTCTCTTTATTTTTTATATCTACAAAAGCTTTTAAATTAAATTTAATTTCTAAAAACAAGAGTGAAAGAGAGGGAAGATAAAAGAACAAATTTTAAAATAAAATAAAGTATTTTTTCCGCACAAATTTCAGCTTTTTTAAAATTAATGATTTTATTACATATTCTAAAAATATTTTACTGGAGAAATAAAACCTCTCGTCATTAAAATATAATTATAGTTTATATTATTTTAATAGTTTTCGAAAACTTTTGGATTCTACAAAAGTTCATATTAAATGCTATATCAGAGAAAAAATAAAAACTATTATTAGAGATAAAATAATTTGGAACTATAAAAATTTTTTATAGACTTTCTGACTCTTGCTTATTAATTTTTAAAACCCAATATAATTTTTTTATTTATTTATTCAATAAAAACTGTAAAGTAACAATAACGGAAGTTAGCATAGCTAAGAATTTATAATTAAATCGGTAATGTTAAAGATAAAATGAAAATGGTTAAGAGAGAAATAAAATAAACAAAATGTATTTTTTTACTAACTTACTTAAGCAACAGAAATTAAAAATTTATCTATAAAGCACGAATCTATGGAATTAATGAGAAAATCTAATTACATATATAGATATATAACAATAACTTATTTTTTGAAAAATCAAAACTAATCTTAACCAATATTTGAACCGGAAATAAAAAAATATACTTGAAAAATTTCTATTTTCTTATATAATAATTTTTAAAATTATGTATTTAAATATAGTAGCACTATTTAAGATTTATTTATTATTTCATTTTTAAATTTGTTGTAATTTATAAACTGATATAATTATATATATAAACCAAAACGTCAAACAGCTAAATCATCATCGCTCTAGGTTTAATATATATTATTATACTAGCTCATAAATTTCTTTGTACAACAACAAATTAAAAAATGAAATAATGAATAAAGCCAAATACTTCCACTATATATATATACTATGTAATATTAATTTAAAAATATTTTGAATTATAATTTGTTTTTAAAATTTATACTAAATTGTATGTTAATCAAGCAATTTCATGTTTAATTTTTATTTTAAATATTTTAAATAATAATCTAAAATTATTTTAAATATTTGAATATTTTATCGAAATTAAAAAAATAGCTTTTACAATTTATAACAATTATTTTTTTTTAAAATATGTTGATTATTAAAAAAAAAATTTAATGATTTCAGAATTCATATTATTCATATATTATTATATGGTAATGGAATAATTTTTATTTTATTATTAATATATTGTTACGTATTTTATAATTTTTTGAATGTTAAAAATTTAATTCTAATGAATTCAAAAACTCGTATTTTTAAATTTCGATTAATAATATTGAAATAATTTTTTTTATTATAAATATATTATTATTTTAAATAATTATTATTTAGCACATGTTGAGGAAAAATATAAAAACAATATATTTTCAAAAAAAAATAATACTATATGAACAATAAAAAAAATTATTTCAATATTATTAATATATTATTATTAGTTTTAAAGTTATATTGTTTTTATATTTTTGCTCAACAAGTACTAATTAATAATTATATAAAATAATTTATAAATAATTATTTATTTTCTTTATTCTAAGTTTTTGCATTGAACATTTTTATTATATTTTAATAAATTACAAATATATAAATCGTAGTTTTGTTTAATAAAATAATATTAGTTTCATATAATAACTTTTAAAAATACATCAACACTCTTAATTTCATTTATTTTGTATAGTAAAAAACACTTTTTTTAATTACTATAAGCTAATCTAAAATTTGTTGTAATTATGAACTAATTTGTAGTTAAAATATAGAATTTATTTATGAGCTAAAGTAGTTAAATGGTAATTGGCAAATGTGTTAATCGAAATATCTATATATATAAATATATATATATATAGATATATATGATGTTCTTTACTTTACATATTATAATTATTATATAAGTAATTTGTGTCATTATGTGATTTAAATAAAATAATAAATATTAGTTATAATTAATTACAAATATATATTGACATACATAAAAAAAATATATATATATTTCAAATAAATTACAGATATAACAGAAAAACAGAAGATTTAAGTTAAACAAGAAAAACTTTGATCAAATAAAATTACCTTCTTCTATATTATAAGTAAGGAAAAAAGCAAAATTCAAATTCTTCTAAGAAAAAATCAATAGTACATATGTTGTAATCAAATAAATATTATTTTAAAAATATAATATAAAACTAACCGTTGTAGTGAAAAGAAAGCGAAACAAAATAAATAGTATAATAAACAAATTAAATTATTTTATTTTAAATATATATAAGGTATGGTGAAAAATTATAGGATAGTGAAAGATTACTTTTACCATAATTTGCATTAAAGGGATTTTTTTCTGCTTTCAGCAAAAAGTAACGGCTGCCTTCGCAAAAGAGGTTTTCTTAGGAAAACAAATAGTCCATTTGATTAGCATAGATATTTAAGCACTAATTCTTATTTCGTCAGTCCTACGGTGTAGTTTTTTAATTCTGATTATTATGATCAAGTTCCAGAGACATCCCCAGTTGAAGTGACCGCTATATTATCAGAATAAATTGACATATTAAAATTCTCAATACAATAGTACCAAATCTTAATACTGATTTATTGTGAATGCTTTTTGGAAAAAAATGGAAAATTCTAATCAGATGACAGAGAAGTTTGTTTATTATTTATAACTGTTGCGAGTGTTGACGAGTAAATTTAAATATTTAAAAAAAAACGTTTATAATAAAAATTGTGAAGATGAGTGACAAGTTACTTGTCATATGTTTACTGATTTAGGCAGTGATGCCAAGTTATTTTTAAGCAACCAGAAGTTCTTCTATTGGATCATTCATTTAAAACGAATGCACCTTATATATTAGTATATTATACCATGTTCCAACTGTCGTTAAATAAACATATTAATCAAATTAAGATTTGGTCGTTTGGCATTATTAGTTGATTTACGCATTATAGAACGGCTTTTATGAGTCAAAAAATTGTGTAAAAATATTATTTCTACATATGTGAATTTAACAGATTACTGAAATTTTGCAACATATTTCCAGTAAATATTCACAATAGATTGATTTTTGAATTTGACCGTACTGAAACTTAAGACATACATTTTTTGCAAGTAAAACCTAACTCTGAAGATTTTAAGAGCATTGTTGTTGCTTCACAAATTGTACCTTCAGACTTTTTCAAGAATTCAGCATAATTTTTTAATAACAGCAAATTAAAAAGAATTGAGTATTATTTGTCAAATATTTGTTAGCAGTTAATTGGAAATTTTGTACATTCTTCCGAAAACCGTTCATGATAGACGTATTTTTAGTTTTGACAACGATTTCAGCTGCTTATTAGTTAAGCGGTTCCAAAAAAGTTTTACCAAATAAGCCAGTAGTATTATTGTTTCATGTGTTATTTTTAAAATAAGCGTTTGTTCTTTTGTGATTTGCTTACAAATGAAAAGGCCTAATATAATAAAATAAAAAAAAAATTTAAGTCCAAATGACCTCACTCTCAAAAACCTCTGTTTGTCATTTACAACAATTTACAACACTGTTTTGTGTCGCTAAATGACATTTACTTTTCAACGGCATTAACGAATGATAGCACAAAATGTAAAAAAAAACATACAAATGGTGCTGTCATTTGCCGTTGCATTGCATTTTATCGCCGACTGAATTTCCGAGATTTTGTGGAATAAGTATTTATAAGCATTTCGACTGTTAAACTAAGTAATTTTCTCACATTTTTAATTGTTATAAGTGTTTATATAAGAATTTGTTACAAATGGATGCCTTTGCCAAGCTAAAATTGCATTTGCCAAAAATCAGCGTTCCTTGCGAAAATCTACCGATTTACAAAGATGAGTGTGTGTATTCATATGATAATCCAGAGTCGCCAACTGGTTTGTACGTGAGTTTGACCAGCTTCTTAGGCTTTGGAGAAGAATATGTTACCAAATATGCTGAAAAAACTGGCAATCGAGTGTTTTTACATATTCAACGTGAAAAGATCTTAAAAGAGTGTGTGGATAGCGCTGGTAACACAACTGCGTGCGATGAGGCTGGTCCCGAGCGCAAGATCACCCGCTTGGCTATCGGCATCGAAGGCGGTTATAATGATGCAGATGCAAAAAAATATGACTATAAGGATACATATAATATTGTTATTATGCCAGATAATATTAAATTTCCTTATCCTGATCCAGAATTGCCCCTCTTGATAACGCAATCGGTTGAGTCTCTGTTGGCACAAGATTCAGCAATTGCTAAATTAGAAAAAGAAATATTAACGGGTGAGATAAAAAATTGAATTTATTGAAATGTATTTTACTTATAAGTTACGTATTTAGGTACTTGGGACGGAGAAGTACGACAAGTTTCTAAATTTTCACATAATCTTGAGCAGTTGAACAATGGTAAGAAAATACCACCGTCTGGTTGGAAATGCGAAAAGTGTGATCTCACTAACAATCTCTGGCTGAATTTAACTGATGGCTCCATACTATGTGGTCGTAAATTTTTTGATGGCTCCGGTGGCAACGATCATGCAGTTGAGCATTATAAGGATAAACAATATCCGCTAGCCGTAAAACTTGGCACTATAAGCGCTGATGGCAAGTCAGACGTGTTTTCTTATGCAGAAGACGACATGGTAATAGACGAAAAATTAGAAGAACACTTGGCTCATTTTGGAATTAACATGGCTGCTATGAAAAAAAGTGAAAAGTCAATGGTTGAACTTGAATTAGAGATCAATCAGCGTATTGGAGAATGGTCACTCTTAACAGAAAGTGAGAGTGAACTAAAGCCATTGGCTGGAGCAGGTTATACAGGCATGCGAAATTTAGGAAACTCCTGCTATATTAATAGCGTTATGCAGGTAAGGAGATTGCATTTATTTACGTATTGTAATTATTTTTGATTTATCTTTTATACATAGGTACTTTTTACTCTTCCTGATTTTAAGAACCGGTTTGTAAATCAAGGTGCCGAAAAATATTTTAAAGAATTTCCTCAAGATCCTGCCAACGATTTTAATATACAAATGTCAAAGTTAGGCAATGGTCTGTGGTCCGGAAAATACAGTTCTGTTTCTGAAAATTCGTTAGATTCAGAAACAACAGGTATATCCCCAGCAATGTTTAAGAATATTATTGGAAAAAATCATCCTGATTTTAGTACAAAGCAACAACAAGATGCATGCGAATTTTATTTACATTTAATTAACCTTTTGGAAAGAAATTCCATAAATGATGTAAATCCAACCGATGCTTTAAAATTTAGTGTTGAAGATCGTGTAGAATGCATCAGCAGTAAAAAAGTACGTTACTCGCGTCGGGACGAATACTGTCTACCATTACAAATACCACTTGATAAAGCATCTAATCTTGATGAAGTGAAAGAATATTTGGAAAGAAAATCTGCTAGTGGTGGAACTGTTAACAACGACAAGGATGTTGTGCGTCATAAAGTAACTTTGCATGCCTGCCTTGAACAACTTTTTGCACCCGAAATGATAGAACAGTTTTTCTCGTCTGCCATAAATAGCGTAACAACGGCAAAAAAGACCACACGAATAGCCACAATGCCAGATTATTTAATGTTGCACTTGCGTAAATTCACTTTAGGGGACGATTGGGTACCCAAAAAGCTTGATGTTTCAGTACAAATGCCTGATGAGTTGGATTTATCCAATTGGCGTGCGACTGGATTACAAGCTGGTGAAGAACAGTTGCCAGAAACTGAACCCGTAAAAAGAGGTTTTGTTTTCAATGAGGAATTCCTAACACAACTTATGCAAATGGGTTTCCCTCAGGAAGCATGCAAACGCGCCGTATATCACACAGAGAATAGCGATGTGAATTCTGCTGCCACCTGGTTAATGGAGCACATCGGCGACCCTGATTTTTCCGAGCCATTCGTAGTGCCAAGCGAACGTGCTACTGGCGGCGCAGATATATTTGATCCAGAAAGTATTGCTACACTAATGAGCATGGGTTTTGCAGAACAACGTTCTAGGGAGGCGCTTAGAGCTACCAATGGAAATGTAGAGCGTTCGATGGACTGGATATTTTCTCATGCTGGAGATGTTGATACTAATGAGGAATCGACAACTGCAAGTACCACCACGGCGGAACCAGCCACAAAAACTTACAGAGATGGTAATGGAAAATATAATCTTGTGGCATTTATATCGCACATGGGTACATCTTCGCAGGTAGGACATTACGTTTGTCACATTAAAAAAGATGGACAATGGGTAATTTTTAATGACAGTAAAGTAGCCCTATCACAGAATCCGCCTAAAGATTTAGGCTACTTGTATTTATATAAACGCGATAATTAATAATAAAAATCATAAACTAAAAAATTTTGCTTTTATGGATAAAAACTCGTTTGTGCAACGCCGCTCAGAATTATTTATAATAAATACAATTTTTGAATGAATAAAATTTATTTAAACATATTTTTTTTCTTTTATTTAATATAATAATAATAAAGCATATATCAGTAAAGTCAACGGAGCTGAGAAATGCATGTCATGTCAATGATTTTAAGCGTAGAATTGATCTTCACTAGCAAGCATCTTAAGTAATTTCCTCTAAGCATTAATTAAACTTTCTTCTTGTGGGGCTGTGAGACCTTGCCAAGGTCTCTTTGATGATATTATCCAGTTTATCAGTGAACGCCTCAAATGAGAATTTTTGTTGTACGCGTGTATGTCCTAAAGAACCCATACGCTGTCGTAAGCTCTCATCCGTAAACATATTTAACATTGCTTTGAAGAATGCGGTTGCATTTTGTTCACAAAGAAATCCGGTTGTTTTATTCACAACAGTTTCTGTTGGTCCACCACTGTTCGCAGCAATTACAGGTTTAGACATATACATACCCTCCAGGGGCACAATGCCGAAATGCTCGTTCTCAGGTGTGTAAATAAGACACTTCGCTGCCTCTAGTAATAAGAACTTTTCATCATCGCTGGGTGAACGTAGGAGCATGGAATTATTTTGCAAATCTAACTTTTGAATTAGATGACTCAACTCGTCATAATATTCAACATTCTCAACAACTCTGTTGTCGTAGCCTCCAGCCACTACTAAGAAGCAACGTTTGAAGTCTGACGCTGGCAACGCATCTGCTAGAAGCTTAAAAGCATTTATTGCGAGTGCATGGTTTTTTTTACGTTCGTAACGATTAATGTCCAAGAACATAAATGCATTTTTTGGAATATTGCTAGGCAACGAAATTGTTAAACTTTGCGTCTCCAATTTATTTTGCATTTTGTCAAAGTATTTTGTGTTTAGTGAGGGATACAATACCTCAGGCACTATTTCCAACCGTTGAAATGTATCCTGAAATACACGCAATGTGAATTTTGAATTCACCAAAGTAGTATCAGCCATGCCAATTGTGTACTCCTCAAGATAATTAAGCGGTGCGCGATAAACACTCTTCAAATAACCTTCACGTCTTGAAAGCAGTTGATCAGGAAAATGACAGTAAAACAAAATCTTAGGTCTATGCTTTGCCAAACGTAAAATGGGTATACCAATAGATATAAGATCGCAAAAGACTACATCAATTTTTTCCCGGCGCGAAAGACAAAATGAAGCATAGAATGCAGCATACAACATTCGAAAATACGCACAAAATGCATAGAAGCGTCCAAAAATCCGTCGAGGCAGCCAATCCCCCACTACTTTCACAGGGAAACTACCATCAGCGGTCTCTTGAAAGCAATGTTGTGGATCATGATGATTGGTTAGAAAACTGACTTCATGTCCACGCTGCTTGAGTGCTAAAGCAGCATCCACTACAAGGCGTTCAGCACCACCTATGCCCAAATCAGGATGAAGAAATAAAACACGCACCATTTTGAAAACTAAAAAATATATTTGTGCTTAGGATATTTTAAGATGAAGTAATTTACTTACATTTCTGTTATGTCAAGTAAATATTTGGAATGCATACATCATACGTAAATACTTAGCTAATTGAAGTAATATCGCTTGGGTTAGAACTGATTCATAAATCCGTACGTTGTTGCACAGCAAATAATTTTGGTTAAATTTGTGTGTAAGTAAGAAGAACATTTCACAACACTGTTTTGCAACGAGGGAAGTGTACAAAATATAAGGTTCGAGAGGTTTTTGCATGTTATTAGAGTGTTTGCACAATAAATCCGATTTAATCAATAGCCATAAGTTTTGAAACAACAGCATTCAGTCTGGTTGTTTTTTAACAATTCTGAAAGAAAAAATTACGGCTAATATTAATATATTCCAAAATAAAAGTTTATATTAAAATGAGATAAAATTTAATTTAAACATAATGAGATTTATTACTAATTCTCCTCACATGACAAACGTACAATCTATAAGATCTATTAAAATCATTGGAAATCGCTGCAAATATTGGAAAAATCACATTTTTACAGACATAAATATTTGTAATTATAAATTAGGCATATATTAACATATTAATTGAGTTTCCAGTTATACTTGTTACTTTTTTAACAACATAATTTTGAAGTATATTAACTGTAAACATTCGTCAAATCGCTTTAAAATGTGTAAGAGAGACTCATGAGAGTCTGGATTTAAGATGATTCACTATTAGTAAATTACTGTTAATAAGTTTTGTATAAATTTATAGCAAATATTTGCACTATCATATTTGAATACTTAGCTTTTTTTACATATGCAATTCCATACACTTTTTTATTCCAAATATAAATAAATGAAAAATTGGTTGTGGATGCAGTAACAATAAGTATTGAATTTACAGAGTATTAAAGTTAAGAATAATGCAGAATGTCGTTTAGAAGCGCAGCATATAATATTTTCACTGTTAAGTATCTGAATTTACAATATCTTTTAAAGTAAATTGAATTTGCTCGATCATTTCTAACAAATAATTGCAGGTAAATAAAATAAAATAATTGCATTTGCATAGAATTGTAATTTTCCTAAGATTTCAATTGAAATTTAAATTTTGTTAAAGTTAATTGGAATAAAATTTCAGCAAAATCACACTTAAATCATAATAAAGCTGTAAACAAGATGAAATAAATAATTTAAATTCATATTAAACAAAATTTTTTCGAAAAATAATAAAATTTTGTTTCGTTTAGTCCACTGAAGCTGAAACTACTTATTTTAATTAAATTAAGATGAGTCTGAAATAACTTGTCTGTTTACATTTTATATACAAAATATATGACAAATATTTCATATTTTGGTAAATTCTTAGTGTGAAATTTACTTTTAAGGGTTTACTTCGACATTTTTCGCATTAAATGACTTGATTTATTTATAATAAGCCTTAATGAACCTGCCTGAATGACAGATTGGAAACATAGTATTAAACGGTTTGGTGCTTATTTACGACAATCCCTATGTTGAATATGTCGTACGTATCATATATATCAAAAATATCTTGTACGTCATCAACCTCCCTTTTTTATGTTTATTTTGACAGAAGTTTTACAATTCTAAATATATAAATATTTTTATTTTAATTTATTCTATATTATAAATTCAGCTTAAAATGATAACTTTTTAAAATCTTCTGTTGCCATTTTCATAGTTAATATTTCTTACCGTTTTGGCTTTTATATTGAAAATTGTTAAGAATAGCAATCAATACATCAAACAATAAAAAATGGCATCAAAGTTCAAATTCACGTTACCACTTACACCTAGTTTTGAAACAATATCAAGAACTCAACGTTTAATTCCCTTAACTAATGTCATAGTTGAAGCTATGAAAACATTCAATGATCCGGTATCGGAAATCGAACTTTCAAATCAAAGAAATTCGAGACGTTTACCAGTAATAAAGAAGGCTCAGAATATATATAAGGTTAAACTATTGAAAAAAAAATCTAGAGAATCAGTAAAACAGGGAAATTCGAGACGTTTTTCAGTAATAAAGAAGGCTCAGAATATATATAAAGGTAAACAATTGAAAAAAAAATCTAGAGAATCAATGAAACAAGTGTTGCACACTGTTGGTGTGCAAACGGAATCAATTACTATATTACCTAAAAGTACTGAAGTCACTATTCCCCCACTTCTTCAAAACAAAGTAATCTTTTGCAACGATAGGTTTAAGCATGTAACAGACATAGAAAGGAAAGCACTAATGAAAATCCCGAATTGGGCGCTTATGGATATTGTATTATCTAATCCTACTTCAACTACATCAGAGAAATGCAAAAATAGACGTAACCACTCTGAAACTGAAAAAGTTACAAAATATCAGCCAACTTCGCTCCTAAAAAATCACGTTACACTATCGAAAACTACACTATGCGCAAACCCAAATAAGAACCTTACTAAAACTATTCATAACAAGAGTACTGTGGAAGATGATTTACCACAAGGGAAAGCAACCGTTTTAACCAATTGTCCAAAGTCTGGAGTCGAACTGAATAATGTAGCGAAATGTGAGGAAGTAATTAATATGGTTAATTTAAGTAGGGGTTTCCCACAAAGATGTAGTAATGACTTTACATACGCTATACACAACGATTTACTATACAACAAACCACAAACGTCAGAAATGGAGAAAAATAATCCTAACCACTTAGAACATAAAGTTACTGCTACACTGGGCGCAAAATGTTCGTATAAAGGATCTGAAAGTTTATTGTGTCAACCAAAGAAATGGAAATGTACATTTTTTAATGATTCTTCAAACAAATGTTCGATCACATCGTTGAATAAAAGCTATAAAATGACTTATTCTCCAAGTGCTGATTTGATTTGGAATAAATCAAGTGAATTGCTCGACAAAGCTTGTAAGCCAAGGTGTTTTAAGAAGAACTATTTGCAATATAGACATATTGACAGTCCTATGAGTACAATTTATGAAATGCGAAATTCAAGCGAGACATCAAAAGATTCAAGCGTAACAAAACTGAGAAGTAGTGAATATTCACAGGATACTATAAGCGACAAAGCAAGCGCCACCATCTGTGACAGACCAACCAACTATAAAACTCTTGATGCGCAAAACACGAACAATAATAATTCTTCGCGTCATTTAATTAGGCAAATGTCCATAGACAAAACTTGTAGGTTGTCCACAAATTTGAGTGGACTTTCTATAGCACCTCTTAAAACTTTAAAACATAATAATCACCCGAAAACTGAAAAAATACTAAGCAACGTAATTACGAAAGGCATTGACAGTCATAGTAGTTTTTCCTCAAATACTAAACAAATACTTGAGCAAATAAAACGTGAAAACGAAAAAACATTTTATAACTCCATACGAACCAGGGCACACTTATGGGATACCGAATTGCAATATCAATCACCAACTATGTTTCCGAAGTGTGGTAAAAGGAGGTCATTACCAGTATTCAGAGGTATATATGAAAAGAAGTACAGCGACAATTATTATCAAGCGCGCATCAATTGTATTAATAAATTGAATTGCACGGACGGAGTTAATAATGAGGCATATAATTTTCATCTAAAGTCTAAACCTAAAAGAAGACATAATCCAATTTTATAGTAAGCATAAACAAAAAATAATAACTGTTCTATGGATCAATAAATTTCAAGTGTAAATTAAAATGAAAAATTTATGTAAAATTCACCAATAAAACTCAACCGTTTGAATTTCGTATAATATCGTCTTGCGTAGTAATAAAAAATGCAACCCTGCATAAGTTTATTCGGTAAAATTTTGTAAATGCTCACTCTGGCACTCTCACTCAGAAAAAATTTATTGGCGTCGTTGCACGTGTTTATTTTGCCATTTTATTAACAACAACATTTTGCAAAACTTTAAAAGGAATCCATTAATTGTAAAACATGGTGAAAGTACAAAAACCTACACCCAAATCTTTCAGTAAGATTGGTAATATGGATAAAATTAAAAAGAAGAAGTCTGAGGGCGCAGGTAGGATAAAAAAAGATGCCGCAATCGATACTGTAAAAAAAACGGAAAAAAAAATTTTGTTAGAGAAAACAGTTAAAGAGGAAAAATTAATAGCGCCAATAAAAAAGGACAAAGCAAAGTTGAAATTGGAAAAATCTAGTAAAAAGGAAAATAACTTGGTAGCAACTTTGCCGGCTACAAAAAAAATTAAACAAAAAAAAGACGTCCAGCTTGAGAAAAAAAAAGCAACAAAGCCGTTAGTGTTAGCACCCCCAGAATCACCTAAGCCCACCGTACCAATACCTAATGCAAACGATAAGAGTAAGAAAGCAAAGAAAAATGCAGAGAAAGCTACCCCGGCAACAACAACAACATTGCCCAGTAAGCAAAAGAAAACGCAAAAAAAATCCAAACAATCTGCAAATAAACAACCTCCTTTAACCAAAATGCAGCAAAAGAAAAAATCTAAACGCGCTTTCAAGAAACAACAACTTAAAGCTAAAATCGAGGGAAAAGTTAAGAAAGAGAAGAAACCGATTCCACACAATTTTGATCCCGTACCATTTGATGAAGAAAAATTTAAATCCATCGTCACTACTGCTAATATTAAAAAAATTGCCAAGGCACTTAAGGCTGAAGTCGAAGAGGAAGTAGCCAAAAAGAAAACTTCTATATTCAGTGATTATCGTTACATGCTAAATGTGTCCAGTTTTAAGATACCAAACTGTCCTAAACGTATGGTTAAATTGTAAGTAACATGTCAAAATTAAATAGAACAATAATTGTTATATATATTTAATTATTTTCAGGAGTCTAAAACATTCGCTAGTTGACAAAGATGACGATGTCGTTATTATAGTGACAGACGTACAACGTGGCGCCAAAGCTGACTACGAAACCACCATACAACACTATGAGGATTTGTTCCGAGAAGCCGGTATTGAGAACTTAAAAATTATGCCATTCAACCAACTACGCAAGGAGTTCAAAACATTCGAGACTGTACGCAAATTCAGCAACACTTATGACTACTTTTTGTGTGATGGACGTATCGTGGGACACGTTAACGGCTTTTGCGGAAAGGTAAATTATAATATGCACGAAGAGTTTGTTATAATAAGAAAATATTAAATGTATCATTAAGTTACTTTTAATTATTTAAAAAAATTACATATCATAGTTGGTTCAAGTTTGTGAGTTTTTTGAATTTAAAAATTATATTCCTATTAAACTATTATTTGTTAGAATGTCAATTATCTGCAGTAGTCTATGCAATCTTTAAATAATTTACATTTTGAATTATATCAATATTTATTAACATAAATATTATTTCGTATATTTCCAGATCTTCCAAAAGCCACGCACCACATTTCATGCTGTGCGCGTAGAGACTGCTAAAAATCTTAAATTAGAAATTGATCGCGCATTACGCCGTACAGCTTACAAGCAGCTAAATAAAGGTGATATGATTTCCATACCAGTCGGTAATCACAAATATACAATGACACAGCTAGCCGAAAACGTTGAATATGTCATCGATCAACTTAAGGAATTATATCCTGGAGGCTACCCAAACATACGTAATATGAACCTAAAAATTGACATTACTGGTACATCATCTCTTCCTATTTACGTAAGCATGGGTGAAGTACCACCAGAAACGCCCAATGTAATCGGGCCACGTGAACAACGTATGCTTGGAATGAAGAAGAAAGTTAATGATATACTTACCAAGTTTAACTTGAATAAATATGGTGAAATGACAAAACTTAATAAAACGCAAGAAGAACGAAAGCGTAAATTAAAGGAATCATTAATTGAACTGACAACGAAATCTGAAGAAATTCCAGAACAGCCCCAAGATGAAGATGGTGAAGAAACAGTAGTTCCAGCCAAAAAAGCTAAGAAAGAAGACAAACCCGCCAGGGACTTAAAGAAGGATGATAAAAAAGAAGATGAAGATGAGGAAGATGATGATGAAGATGCAGAGCATGATGCTGAAAATGAAGGTGAAGATGAGGAAGAAGATGATGATGAGGAAGATATTGAAGATGATGATGATGACGATGAGGAAGATGGCGGTAGCAGTGAAACGGGTGAAGATGATGATGAGGACAATGAAGACGATGAGGATGATGACGAAAATGAAGAAGATGATGATGAAGAGGGTGAAGGCGATGATGGCGATGAAAGCGATTAAGCAAACACATTTTAAAATTTTTAATATTTAAGATTTTATATTAAACTTACAATTTGTACGCTTAAATATCGAGTAATCATATAAACTTTTATTCTCATCAAAAATAATCCATTTTTCTATATTTCAAGACTCCTTTTTAGACTTTTTGCTGACATTTATCATTCATTAATAAAATGATAAATCTGGACAGTTGTTTAGTAAACTGTGAAATAAAGGGATGTAGCTTTGAGTTGTTGATAACAGCTAACGCTTTTACTCCCTGATCTGGGTGTGCCTTATTTGATCTACACTGAAGGAACGTGGCAATGTACATATCTTTTATTGTGGGTCCATTTTTTTCATAAATATAGCAGTACGAATTCTGTAGATCTTTTATCCTACGTCTAAAATTTTTCTTTTTATAAATTGTTGAGATCTTTTGCTACATAGATTTTACGCTCTAATAGAAAGATTTATACATATGTAAAGATTTGAATATTTTCCTTTAAGTGATATTTTTTAAGTTCCTGTAGTGTCCATTTAGCTATTTATTGAAGGTGAAACAACCATACAGTGAAGACGTCTGGACAACGTCTTGATTTTTATTGCTAAAGGCCAGCTTGAAGCTAAATCAGAGTATGTGTATAAATACATTTTTTGTCATTATGTGGTGTTGTCCCCAAATTTGATATTTTTCAAAAATCGGGTATAGATGTTTTACTATATAACTGCATGCAAAGTAAAAAAAATCTAACGATTTAAACAAAGTTCCAATTTACAGGCATAATATATATCTTGCTATTAAACTTAGTGTTTTGTTACCTATTATCAGTTATGGATAAGATTTAACTATAAAGTTAAATAATTACACTTTAAAGTAAATAAGGAAGATATAGATTAAATGGCTTGGAAAATGAATGTCTTTGACAGCTTTGATAATTTTGTATATATATATATATATATACAAAAACAAAATACAATATATTGTAATTCCTGTACTGGTATTACGCACCCAAACTATATAAAGACTTTAAAATAGAATTTAATATTAATTTTCATAATAATATTATATAAACTAATTCACCAATTAAATAGTAAAATATATAATGTAATATATAATTATATTTACTTATATTCGTATTATAATTATAAATTGATTCCATTATATTATTATATAAAAGTTTGAACTTTATTCATATAGTTTATTATGACATATACGGAATAAAAATGTGCGCCTCCATTAAGTTTAAAACATTTTGCAACACTACCATTTGAACTGTCAAACATGCATTTGATGACAGTTGTTAGTTGTTGTTGGTGGTGTTCTGTTCTGAGTCGTAGCGGAAACGTTATTCTATATTAATTATTAAATATGTTTAAAATACATAAGAAATATTTTATAAAATTTATGTTTAAAAGTTAATTATTTTATAAAGACGGGTTTTACAAAAATGTGCAAGAAGCGATCAAATATTGATAAGTAATAAACTCACCATTCACAGTGAGAAATTAATAAGCTTCAAATATGTAAATAATTATGTGTAACATATACGTGTTGGTTATATATATTTAATATATTTTATAAATGAATTAATATTGAAACCTTTGATTCAATGTGACTGCCGTTAATTAAACTTATAAAACATAAAAAAAGATTGCATTGTTTATCGATATTTCAAAGAGCGCCTAATCCAAAGAAGCACATCAGTCGAAATTCTTGGATAAAGTAAAGCGTTCTGGCTGTTGCCGGAACAGTTACGAAACAGGATGCCGAAAATTTACATGAAAAAGCCATTGGCGGGCATGGTCATACGAAATCGCAACACCATTAAGGATGTAGTTATTACGGTAAGTTTTTCAAATTAATTCAGAATTTTGAGTTACTAAGACAAGTCATAAAGATAAAATTTCGTGTATGAATCACACCAGTTGCGTTAAGCATAAAATGTACTAATTATCTTTTCGCTTCAAATTTTGCTAAATAAATCGTTATTTGATATTTGATCGGACTTTCAGTTAACTTTTTATTAAAATTTCATATAAAGTTGATTGCGCGAAAGATAATCTCTAATCTAATGTAATCTAACATCTCTAGCTATTATTTATTGATTGTTTTTTATGGTGTAATCACATTTTTATGTACACATGTGTATAATATTAATATTAAAGTTGTTAAATTTTACATTACAATGCTTAATTTTGTTCTGTATGAAGAAGTTATATACACAAAAAAAAAATTATTAAATAATATTGCCTATTTCGTCTATTACCTTACGTTGTCTATGATTTTGGATTATACCATATATAAAACATGTGTCTTTATATATAAAATAATAAAAATATAATAATAATAAATAACCACAAGATAATAATAATAATAATAAATAATAAAAACTATAGTTGAAAACCGAATCTAGAAGCGGACGTATCATCTATCTATAAACACTTGTTATCAACGACCAAGTTTCACCCATAAATTTCTTCGGAATCTCACAGTTTACACAGCAGGAAAATTAAACAACATTTCTTGAAACTGAAAAACTCTACCCAAACTATAAAAACAGAACCACAGTTAAGGACGGCAATTACTTTTTCAACATTCCTGTAAATGTACCGTTTTGCCTTAAAGTATAATTTCTTGATTATTAAAATTTTCGAGTTGCGACTATTGAAACCATATGAAACACCTGTAATATCGAAAATCGAGATATAATACATCGAAAGCACTGTAAGTAAAACAGCTGTAAGTTTTATCACTGTCTATTGTATTGTTTTTTAAGCCAAATTGGAACTGGAAAAACGTTTAATACGTTTCGGTAGGACCGGTACCAATATCTTTCCAAAAAATCCCATTTTTTAATGCGAAAAACAAAATATTTTGCGTTATAGTATCTTTACACGTCAATCCTTAAATACTTAATGTAGTATATTTTTACTACACATTCAAAAATTATAATAAATAAAACATTAGCTAATGTAACATAATCCGATGACACAGCGTATGGCAATAAACTTTACAAGTGCATATGTGATTGCAATCCGAAAAGTGTGCCCATTAAAAAAAATAATAGTAATATAATTCTTGTGAAATATTATATTAAAATATATAATAAATTCTGATAAATTTTATCAGAATTAATTTTGCATAACTGCAAGTTTTAATTATTTGAATATAAATATTAAGGTTTAATCAATAAATATAATTCATTAAATTTTGTATAAATAATTCATTTAGAGTTTATATATATTATATGGAATCCTGCGATTCAATGCAATTCTGAAATAATCATACAAATTATAATGGAAGTGCCAAACATTAAAAAATTCTGGTCTAGTGTATGAGCACCGTAGTTTGAACTTGCTAGGGATTAACTCTCTAGAGGATCTCAACCAGTTGTAAGGCCATAACTAAATTATTTACATTAAAATTTTGTTATGCGTTAAAATCTGTCCAAGATTTTTTCGTTAATACAATGGTCCAACATGCTTAAGTTGATTCATGTCATCACCATTACAGCCCACCTAAAGCATCGTATATATGGCGATAATACCAGCGAATACTTTTAATGCAAAAATTATTGAAAATATTTTATGAAAATAGTTCTGTTATTTTTAACTTATCACTCGCCTGACAACTAACAGATAAAATTTTCTTTTGTGTTTTTTTCTGAATATTTCTAAATTTTATTCTTATTAAAATTTATTTAAATGAATTTACACTGCAGTAGACCAATACTCGCATTTGGATAAAATTAAGTACTTTTATTTTATCTGATGATAAAGCACGAGCATTTGTTGGAAAAAATTATTTGATAAAAGCACAAATAAACTTATGCTTTATTAAATTTTACAACACAAATGAAAAATTTGTTAAAAATACCATAAAGAGGGAGTAGAGCAGGGTTTGAGGAGAAGTTAAAGAACAAACAATGTATTTAAATTGTTAAAAAGCTGATATAATAGCACATGAATTCTGTACGCTCAAATATAGCAATTAAAATTTATTCGTTTATGAATATTTATGAGTTTAATAATTCAAATTCATATTTTCATGCCGATTTGTTCTATATAAATGTAATTGTAGCTACATTTGTGTCTTCATATATAGTTTTGTGTAAGCTTTTCATATTTGAACTTGTGAGCGTTCACACATATTAAAAACAATATAATTTTACTATTCAAAAATTCGTCATTGATTTTTAGATATTTTATTAGCCCTTTTTTTTTTTTTTGAAATATTTTATTAGTTCTCTTTTTTTTTAAACTTTTGAAAATCATTTTTAATTAACGGATTGATTGTAATGTTATAAAAAATATAGTTTTATTAATTGATAATAATTTTTTATAGTATATTTTTTATATACATAGTTTATATATGTATATAAATCCATTACTTTTAATTATAAGTAAAGTTCATTTTAGCGTTCACGCGTATATATATATAATTTCTGACAACATTATCACATTGGATTCGATTCCGTTTTGATATAATTACTACATTATCTGATATGTATTTTCAATTAATTTGGTTGGTGAGCAACATAACTGATATTATGAATATAAATGTTTGAACAAAATTCGATATATAATATTAGATATTTGTTGCTAACTAATAATAGATATTTGTAACTAAAGAAAATTAATTTGTTAAGTCCACCAACAGAATAGAGTAGAGTATATCTTCCAAAAAACATGTTGAGTTAATTTTATGTTAGGTAAAGCTATACTGGCGATCTATTGGTTTATTGGCCCATTGTGTTACCATATAAGAGGTTTAAAAACTATATTAAGCATTTAGTAAACCCAACAATGTTCTTTGAAGTGAGGTTCTTGTGCTGGCAAAGATTCTCAAAAAAGTAAAATTTTTTGTCTTCGTTGAAGGGTGCCAACTTGCATATGGAATCTCTGCATATCTTTCAGTCTTCCTAATTTCTTAAATATATGGTTCCTCTCTGAAAAAAATTTTGTTTATAAATTTTATTAAATGTAGGGAACAAGAAGGTTGCGGGGTGCTCATTTTGAATATTTACTG